AGTAGGAGTTCAAAGTGTAGGGGTAACATATCAGTATGGATGATTCCTTTGCTGAAAGGAAGCAGAGTATGAGGATAAGTGGGTCATTTTTGGGTAGGCAAGCTATAATGAGTGGAGGACGACAGTGAATGGTGCTAGGTCTTCAATCATTTCTAAACTATATCTGTGGCTTGGATGAATGGACCAAATAAATTTGCTGATGAAAACAAGGTGGATAAAACAGTAAATTGTGAAGAAGAGATAGCGTGTCTACAAATGGATATAGATTGTTGGTAGTCAACACAGTTTTATTTTCCTTGTGGGAATTTACTACTAATTATAAGTGTTTATGCATAACCAACAAGAAGGAAAGAAAGAGTTGCAGTAGCAATTTAACAACCAATGTTGCTAATGTGCAGCAGCATCATGACAGCCAAAGAGACTGAAGTGAAAGAGATAAGCAGAGAAGAGTTTTGAGTCTTCATAATTCTCATCCAGCTGAGGTACATATGACAGTATGTCTAAATTGGTGATATGACTGCATCCTTCAAGGTGTCTTCTGTACCAGTTGTTGATGGTGTATTGAGGGAAATGGAGGTGAGGCAAATGTGGACTTTTGGGAAACTTTCCATTCCTGCGTAGTTACAATCTGTCGGCAGGCACTCGGTCATCCGTGATATTCTGCTCTTCTGTGCTTCTGATAAGCTCCAGGCTGTGGAGACTGCCACCTTCTGCTAGCCCAGCCCACACTTATTCCATTCGGAAGGCCCCTGCAGAGTGGCAGTGACTCCAATTTTCAACTTGTACGCCCTGCAGTCGAGTGTCCTATACCAACGAGAGAGCATCTCTTGGAGAAAGGGAATTTAGGGGGATAGCCAAAACATCTCGGAGATACTGTATGCTTGATGCAGTCAAGGCCAACTAGATTGTTCCCGTTTGACCACTACTGAAGGCTCCATCTCCCTATCTACTCTGAGCCTTTTTCTAAATCTCCTTTCACACTATCTTACCACAGAAGTCAGTACCAAGAATAATTGCTTCATCCATTCTGTTCCTTTTGAGTCAGCAAGAAATTTGCTAAGTGGAGTATAATATGGGTAGATGTGAATTTCTCCATTTTGGCAGAAAGAATAGAAAAGCACTCTACTATTTAAATGAAACAAAACTACAGAACTCTGTGCTACAGAGAATTCCAGGGGTTCTGAATCACAAAAGATTAAAATACAGGTGCACCAAGTGATTAGGAAGATAAATGGAATGTTTGTGTTTATTGCAAAGGGAACATCAGATCAACATCCACAGAAAATTGATAGGGTGAGGGGATGGGGGAGACTCTCTCATTCCAGGTGCCCCTTTCCCTCAAGAGCAATGCAAGAATGGTTTTAAACCGGAGGAGAAACCACATGCAAGCCCCCAGAAGTCTCTTCTTGGGGTACTTCAGTTGGCGGCCAGGCCCTCCAGCTCCATTCCGCCTGCCATCCCCAACCAGTTAAAAACATCCTCATGTTCTTACTCAAGACAATGCTGTGGCTCTTGCAGATCTCCATTGTCCATCCTGTGGCCTCCACCAAACAGGATGACCAGCCATAATCTAGAATGGTGCAGCGGACTTGAAGGGCTGAATGGCCTACTCCTTTCTATATTTCTAGTTCTACAAAAAGAAATAAACATGATTTCTTTTCACAGAATCATTTGGAATCCACCTGATTACGTGATGAGTTTCTAAGTATCCAGCTATAGCTTTCTTAATAATGGCCTCCAGCAATTTTCCAATGACAGATGTCAGGCTAACTAACCTTTTCGTTTCCCAACATCTGTCTCCTTCCATTTTTTTGAATAGTGTTACTTTGCAAATTTCCTGTGCACTGGGATCCTTTTAGAATCCAGGGCATTTTGGAAGACTGCAACCAAAGCATTTATTATCTTTCTCTAATGCCAAGTCCTGTTCACTCATCGTCCCTGTGCTCTACGACATACGTTAACTCCCAGTTAAGTGACACCCTGGTTGTAAATTTTTCATCCTTGTTTTCAAACCACACCATGGCATCACATCTACTTGTCCCTAATTTCCTCCAGCTCTACAATTTTCAGCAATCTGCGCCCCTTCAAAGCCTTCAGCTGCTGAAGCCTTAAGCTTTGGAATTCCGTCTCTAAAGCTTTCTCCTTTATGATGCACCTAAAGCATACCACTTTGGTCAAGTCTCATGTGGCTCAGCTTCAAATTTTTTTTTTAATCCTCTGAAGCATCTTGGAAGGTTTTACAATGTTAAAAGACAATATAAACACAAGTTGGTTATAGAGATGCTGCATTCAGTCAGTCTCAGTGTATAGCACGCTATTACAATTTTTGTACAACTCAATAGTTCAAAAAGTATTTTTAAAAAAACATGTTTTGATTGTGTGCTTGTAATAGTTTGTATTGTTTCTTTCTATTCTTAGTATGTGGGTGAGATTGGCAAAATTGAACACCTTGCCCACCCTGATTTACTCAAGGTGGTTGGTGTTATTAAGTCATAGCAACCATTAATAAATCAAGAAATTGAACTAGCTGCATTGTTCAATTACATAAAGATTGTCCTGGACCTGGACTCAATTTTTCTCCATTACTGCTCTTTATCTCTCGATGCCTTAAAGCATCAATACTCTGTGTATCTCAGTCTTTAAAGCTGTGGGTATCCACCACCGTTTATTGTGTTGGAGATGGCTTGGGAGCTCTAGATTTTGACTATGTTTTGTATTAAAAAAAGTGATTCCTGATTTTGCTCCTGCAGGGGCCTCTAGATTTAACATTGTGTCCCTTAGTTCTTTAAATTACTCCCTCCCCAAGATGAAATGCATTTTGGTGACTGCAATAACAAAACCTTCTAACACTTTCAGTGCTTTGATCATTCTTTTATATCCAAGGCATTTTCTGCCATCTGCTGTCATAACTGAAGCTAAGCATCCTGGTGGTGAGTACTCCATTAATAACATTAGACAATTCCAAAGTGCACTGGAGAAGAAATTATGTGTCTCTGAGCCAGTATGTGACTTGAATGTGGTGCCTGGAAGTGACTGTTTTCTCTTAATATTGCTGCTTTAATCTTTGGTCGTGACATCACAAGTAAGGGACTTATTCTTGAACTAGCAGTTTTTTTGAGGCAGTGTGTCGTTTAAATTATAAATGCTGCAACCAGAGTGCACTGATCCAATCTGGATCAGTTTGAGTTTCTCGAGTGAGTGTTTTTACGTGTTGATGATAAATATTCCTTCGTACTTCTTTGCTGAGCTTTGTCTATGGAAAGTTACTTTGTATAGTCTACGTTTGAAAGGTCTCTAAGTATTAGCACATAAAATTGCAGCTGCATCTTGTGAATAGGATGAGATATCTACGCTGGTACATGTAATATTCTACTACAGCTAACATTTGGGGGTTTGTTTTTGGTGTACTATCCATCCAAGTTGTAAAGGAAAAAAGAGGTTAGCAATTTCCCAGATTCTAAGTTAGATCTTAGAGGTGAAAGATGGTGTTCCATTATTGTACCAGCATGTTTTAAAATAAATTAGTTCAGAAATGACTTGAGACCCAAGATTCAAGTAAATAATATCACAAAGAAAAGTCATACAAAGAAAAAAAATGAAGTAAGCGACTTAATCAACAAAAATAATTGTATCAAGGAGTTTTTTTTTAAAAGCACTTTAGAGTGCTTCATCAGATATAGTCCACTTCTATTTATCTTCCATTATATACTTCAGAAGAATTAATGTACATTAAAATCTGCCTGACTCATTTTACAAAATTGTCTTGTCGTCAACTGAAATCTAGTCAAACATCTCAGCCTTTAGTAGTAAGAAACATCTCAGACTTTAATGTTGTAGTTCTGACCCAAAAAAAAATTGTACACCCAAGCCCTGATCTCACCAAAGATATTTTATCAACAAACATTGATGTCAAAAAAGGTGATCTTGCATCAATTTAGCTTTGCAAAAGTCAGACCAAAGCTACTTTAAACAAAAAGTTAGTTGTTTAAATCTTTAGCTCTATTTAGATTAGGAGAAAATTTACTCATGGGTGAATTCTCCAGTCATATATGCTTATGCTCAAGCACAACACTAGTTATAACCAGTCCATCCCCATTTGCAATTTAGCATAACTGCATTAGAAACAGGAAGTAGACAACCACAACAGTCACCTTGTGTGGAATGAGATAGGTGACTACCTGACTGTATTGGTTGAACGAGGAAAGATGGTCGGGACATCAGAGAAAATCCCTTGCTCATTGAATACCTGTAATGTTATGAACTCATTAATTCTTGGCTAACAGGTTTTCAAACTGGGATTCATGGACATGAAGGCCTCCATATTTAAGTATTTGATTTATCTGTATATAATAAATTAACATTGTGGATGCTACCAATTCTCACAAGTTTGAAAACCACTGGTTTTAACCTACTAAAAACACTGCTGCCTCACAGTGCCAGGGACTCGGGTTCAACTCCACCCTCAGGCAATTGTCTGTGTGGAGTTTGCACAATCTCCCTGTATCTGTGTGGGTTTGTCCAGGTGTTCAGGTTTCCTCACACGGTCTAAAGATGTACAGGTTCGGTGGATAGGCCATGCTAAGTTGCCCACAGTGTCCAGGGATGTGCAGGTTTGGTATATTAACCATGAAAAATGCAGGGTTACAGGGATAGGGAAAGGGGGTGGGTCTGAATGGGATCCTCTTCAGAGGGTCAGTGTGGACTCAATGGGCCGAATGGCCGCCTTCCACATTCTATCATCCCATATTATAGAGAAAATAACACGGCAATCCAAACAAATGTAATTTCAAAAAAAATGTACTCATATATTGTGTATCCATTTGCTGGTTTACTCCAATATCACTAACTGAGAATGTCTTATCCTTAGTCAAGTTCAAAATGGCCTCATTGAGTTGCAGCTATAAAATCTGCACTGTTGGCTGAGTATCCCTGCAGACTTTTTTTACCCCTCAGTGGATCATAGAATCTATCATTTAATATCCTGTTTATTTATTTTACAGCTGATTCACTTACACTGACTGTTCCTGAGGTGGTGATTGGGCAGTTGAGGAATTCAGTCAACATTCCTTGTACCTACTATCCATCGCCTATATATGTTGAATTAGAAGTTACTTGGTATATTAATACATACACCGTTATTATTCGACGAGATGAAAGTGGTAGTTATATTCCTCTTTTCAACAATCGGGGCAGAATTCATATCCAGCATGGTCCTGGATCTGGTGATGTTTCACTTATCCTGAAAAATGTGGCATATAGTGATCGAGGAACCTATACCTGTGAAGTAAAGTGGCAAACTAAACATGGATTAAATCAAACTGAAAAGAGAGCTGATGTCAGTCTAATGGTACGAAGAGGTAAGTTTTTTTTTTGGATGTCGATTATGATTAACTACAACAAGGATCAGAATAATTGCTGAAAAAATGTGATCTCGCATGCCAGAATTTGAGTTTATGGAACCATCTTCTTTCTCAATAGATACACTGCAATTCCCACTATATTTCTACAATGAATAATTTTTACCTTTTGTAAAGCTGCATATTATGTAGGTTAACAATTACCTGTGTGCTAACGTGCTTGCTGGATGCTATACAAATTTGTGATATGCCACCCATTCAGTTTGGGATAATATATGTTTTAAACTCCAAGGTAGACTGCCATATAATTTATACTTACAGTTAAATTTAGATATAAAACAAATAAACTAACAAGTACATGAAGCGTAAATGTAATGGATTAATTACTTTTATAATGCCTGAAGATGAAAAGATTAAGGTTTCATGGTTTTGGAATGTTTGGGCAAACTGCTAAGACAAGTTTTATCTTCTGTATCTTACTTGGAATTGTCACAGTACGAGTTCCTCTCAAGCAGCAAGTTGAAGTTAAGTCCTCTGTCCATTCAAATAGAAATAATCATATTTGAAACATTTTTGGGCTTTATACATTTTTTAAATTATGGGGGAAGAAAGAAAACAACATTCAAAAATGCAAAAGCCACAAATAACAAATGAATCAATACATTTGCAAGGTGAAGTATGACATAAATTTCACTACAAGGTGAAAGAAGGCAACTCTATATTGAGGTGCTCTCATTGATAAGTCGAACAATCCATTCCTGTGCTAGGGTCAAGCAGACCTTTGCAATTAGAGAGGTAAATCCTTTGGTAATGATATAGCCACTGGCACCAGGGGCTGCCCTTTCAGAGTGTAAACACTTAAGAAACCAAAGCCCTCTTTCCCCTTGCTTCACCTCGAGAAGGTGATGGGAGGTTGCCTTAATACAGCTGGTGGACTCTCTACATGGCAAGGGAATGTTTAAATGCTGACAAGATGCTGGCAGTCTGGTAAAATATCCATTAATGTACAAATTAATTGGCTATCTACCTTGGGTGACCATGCTTCTGCTGATCCTATTACAGGTGGCAGTGGGAACACATTGGGCTTCCCTCCCAAAATCTTTCACCAACATTTTACCAACACTGTCAGTCAACCTCAAAAGTTCTGAGGAAATCTTAGCCAATAAATAACTGAGACTAGGAAATGCTAGAGGTTAACAGCAATTAAGCAGATACAGGGAACAGAGGTGGGCACAGGGCAAGAACAGAAATAGAATCATAGAATCCCTACAGTGTGGAAGCAAGTCATTCAGCCCATTGAGCCCATATTGACCCTCTGAAGAGCATCGCACCCAGATCCACCCCATCCTTGTAACCCTGCATTTCCTATGGCATTTCCACTTTGCCTGCCCATTCCTGGACATAAGGGACTTGAATGTGGCCTACTTTGACCAGTTTGATCCCATCAGATCCAGATGTGTTCGCACTTTTATTTAACATGGTTGTATTCTCTCAAAAGACTGAATAACTACAAGTAAGGTTACAAGCTCAGTGACTAGGATCAACCGGCTCTCTCTAATACAACTCAAAGTTCAGAACGGATTTTGCAGACACGCCCCACCAGGATTCATTATAAGCCTTGGAGTGATATCTATTTGAGGCAATAACTAACCTTGTCACTTGAGTATGCCACACAAAGTCGTAAATTTTGTTCCAGTATATTGGTTCCAAATACAGTGCAAATAATAAAGGCAGACCACAACAGCTGATCATTTAATGAACAAATGCAAATGTTTGTGACTTTTCCCTCTGCTTCATTTTCTCAGAGGGAGAGGATTATTACACTGTAAGCCTCTTGCTAAAATAATGTCAGCACATAAGTATTCATCCACTGGATATCACTAACCCAAATTTCTACACTCGTGTGTTAGAATTATTCGTAACTTCAAATATGCCATTACAGAGTTGTGTTTTAATGCTTTGGTATTTCTGAATTAGTCTTTACATATCTTCGTACTTTGGATGTCTTATTTCATACGAAGATAAAACTTTTCTCTAACTACTTTCCCCAGCTTTACCTTCAACTAGACCTCTGGCTAGTCTGTCCCCTGTGGTTACCTCTGCATGTGGTAAGATTGTTATTCTTATATTTCTGTAAGCCTATATATCGTGATTCTGTTTTTCAGAATTCATTATTGCGATTTCTTCCTCTCAGAAAAGACAGATTAATATTATTAACTGAAAGCACAGATTAGGATGAAAAATGAAAGTGAGAGAGAGTTCTACAGTGCGAGAGTTCGTTTGCTTTTACACTCCATGCTTCTTGATGTAAAATTAAAGATGTTAGTATGTGCAGTATTATTTTAATTCAGTAACGTTTGCATCACTAAATTGCCAGACAAACCAGTTAAAAGTTCATGTCTGTTGGGGCGGAATGACTAAATAAATCAACTGGAGTACACTTGCAGGATCAAAGAGTTTATTGAAATTACACGTGTGGGAAGAAACCTCTGGGGGTCAGAAGTTTCTTTAATGAACAAAGGAAAGGCATAAACTTTTATGGACTTTGTTTTCAGCCCATCTTTTGCAATTAAAGATCAATCATATTATTAAGTAATTATACACTCATCCAATCAAATTAATTATGTGACTGTATGGTCAATGATAGGCAGAGTTATGGACAGCCCTTAGTTTTCCATGATCTCATGATATTTACCACACACCCTTATCTCTATCCTTGGGCCTTCACAATGCATGCTGTATTTAACCACATTCTGACTTCTGCACCTGTAATTCAATCCTCCCTGCTAGTAATGTGGGGTCCTCTCTTACTGTCTAGTGCTGTGTTGTCCATAGGAATTATAATAGAATCCCTTTAATGCTTGTTGCGTTTTTTTAGGTGGTTATATGTATAATCTTTCACTAATTCAAAATCTATAACTATGATTATGTGGGAATCTTAACCAAAGTAAATCTATTTGTGATGAATCTCAGATTTTACATCAGTTAGGTATGGAATTGCTTTATCAGCATACTCTACGGTGTCCTTATCCAGCTGTCTGTATAAACAACTGCAGCTGTGTGTTTGCAACAGGACCCTTAGTGTGCTAACTTTATCTTGTTACCTTGGACATATTCTGTCTACAAAGCTACAATTGTCCTCACTTTTGATTTACTTTAATATTACACTAAATAGGCTATTCTAAGTCAACTGAGAACCACTTTCAGCATTTTTTACTGCTTTCAGCCACGGGCAGCCCCAACACTGATCCAAAATGCCTGGATGGTGAATCTGAAAATCATTGTGTCAAGTCAACAAAAATCCGATTGTCAATACAATAAATGCGGCAATTGGTACCTTGAGGTATAAGACCATAAAACATAGACACAGATGTAGGCTTTTCAATCCATCGAGTTTGCTCTGCCATTCAATGAGATCACGGTTGATCTGATAATCCTCAACTCCACTTTTCTGCATTTTCCCTGTAACACTTTATTCCCTTACTGATTAAAAATCTGTCCATCTCAGTCCTGAATTTGCTTTGCAACCTAGCCTCGACAACCCTCTGTGGTATAGAAATCCACGATTCACAACCTCTGTAGGTTTCACCAGCTGTCCCAGCATTGGTCCATAAATCGGTCATAAATTTTAAATTTGGGATCGTATAATGTCTATCCGAGATATTAAGGACTAAAGGATATGGGTTGATCTATTAAGTTAGGTTGTAGAGCAGTCACACTTTCTCTTGTGGAGCTGATCGTTCAGGGATGTAGGCTTAGCCAGCTGCCATAGCATTTCTTATTCATCTTAGTTGCCCTCTTTAATAAGTACACTTACAGTGTTGTTTGAGTTGTTGTTCCAGGATTTTATCCCAGAGACATTGAAGCAAAGGCGATATGTTTCCAAGTCAGGATGGTGAGTGGCTTGAAGGAGAACTTTCAGGTGGATGGTGTTCCCATGTATTTACTACCCTTGTCTTTCTTGATCTGTTGTTTCCAAAATGTAGATTATGATCGACTGGTTGATCGCAGAAACTATGACAGTTGTTTTCACTGCCTGCCCATGTCCCTTTGCACATGTCAATTGTCATGATGCTGCATGACATCCACTTACTAACTTACAAATGTGATCCACTCTTTTTACATCATTGTTTTGCTTGAAGAATTGATATATTTGAGTGGCAATCACTTGGGTGACTGATGGGCAGCAGGGGGCAGTAATCACCCACTAATTGAGAGTTCAAATTGAAATTATTTCCTTTCTCTGGGAGAGAAGTGTGTGAAAGGAACTTTATAGTTAGCATTTTTGCCAAGTCCAAAATTTAAAGTGTGTGTTTATAGTTTCATTCCTGATACTTTTTCTTTTATCTCTGAAAATCAAAAACATTAGCATTTAGTCTACATTCTCTGTTCCTTTTCATGACTGAAGATTTTAAGGAAAATAGAATAGCTAGAGACAAACCTGAGGAGTCTAGGGCTGGGGGACACAAACTAGCAATGAGAGTGTGACCTTTCAGGAAAACAACTAGAAACCCTATCTACTTACGGAGGGTGGGGGTGTTTTGGAATTGTAAGGTGAATTATGATAAATCAGTCGTAAATTTTCAACAAATCAATAAGAAATATTTTAGGAACTGATGTGTGAAACCAATATATTTCAGTACTAGAAACGGACTATTCAACCTATCATGTCAATGAGGATTCTCTGCAAGAACAGCTCAGTTAGTCTTGCTGCTCTGCCCATTCCCTGTAGACCTGCAGTGTGTTTTTTCTTCACTTGCTAATCTTCATCTTTTTGTCCTGCATGGACCTTCTTGGGGAATGCTGCTGTGACATACTTACGCTATCTGAGTAATTGAAGCTGACCGGGCCCCTGGAAACAAGTAGTGACCTTGGGGGTGACTTCTCATGGCTTTATAGTTGAAAGCAGTTGGCAACATTTTGGATGTTCCAGAGGCAAGGATCCAGAAGGCTACGTGCAGTGTGACCAGCAGCAGATTGACGTCACAAATTATAAGGTGAAACAATAATGATGAATGATGAACCTCATCCATCTAAAAAATAAACCAAAAATCTACAACTTCCATATGGAATGGGCAAATGAATTTCTGTTCACAACTTTATAAAAGAGGGGTGTGCCTTATATGTCACCAACTTATATTGATAAGTAAAAATGGGAATTTTAGAATGACAACACAGAAGGATGCCCAGTAGAGTCCAGCATAGTTTTTCCTGGAACAGCATGCTTTGGACAAAGAAAGTTGACAAGCTGAAAGCCATTTTTGAAAGTCCAGCAGTCATTTTTTTTTTCCGTAAACCGGCAGCAAAAGGTAAGCCTGCATGGTACATTATTTTACATTTACCATTTTCTGGCAAAACTCTGGAAAATAGATGGTGAAGTAATGACTGCAGCCACTGACTCTTTCTTCAAAGATTTTAAAAACGAAGAAAGAAAAATGACAGTCCAGAGCATGTCACTTGGTGCTTCAAGTGGTATAATGAGTAGAATATTTGTCCAAGGATGTCTTACAGCAATTACAGTAGGACTATGAATGCTTTTCACCGATGTTTGATGAATCCATTGACATGATCGACATGATTTTGTTTTTGTGCGCTTGTGTTTAAGCACATAACGAGTAAAGAGGATCTTCACTCCCTTTTGCCCCTTAAAGAGAAAACAAGGGGTAGGGATATCCACTACAAACTCATAAAATGTTTTAAAGAAATATTCCGAACAAGAAGCTAGTTTCCATCACAACCGATGGTGCATTAGCCATACTTGTCCAACTGCAGATTTTGTTGCATTTTGTGGAATTGATCTCAATCTCCCCGCTCTTATCAAATATCACTATAGAGTCCACAAGTAAGCATTGTCAAATAGTTATAAACTTTTATCTTATCATAAACGTTGTTCTTAAGATGCTTGTGATGAACTAATTACAATGTAAAATGATATTGAGCTGAAAGTCAGATGAGCGGACAGCAATTTCTGGGGACTCGTAAATGGAGAAAAATACCGACTCTATCATTCTATGCTCTTAAAGTAAAAGCTTTCTTTGAAGATTGCTAATGTGGTGCCACTATTTAAGAAAAGTGGTGAAGAAAAGCCAGGGAACTATAGACCGGTGAGCCTGACATCAGTGGTTAGCGAGTTGTTGGAGGGAGTCCTGAGGGACAGGGTTTACATGTGTTTGGAAAGGCAAGGACTGGTTAGGGATAGTCAGCATGGTTTTGTGTGTGGGGAATCATGTCTCACTAACTTGATTTTGTTATTTCTTCAAAAAACTCAGGATTGATGAGCACAGAGCGGTGGACATGATTTATATGGACTTCGACAAGGTTCCTCATGGTAGACTGCTTAGCAAGGTTAGGTCACATGGAATACAGGGAAAGCTAGTCATTTGGATACAGAACTGGCTGGAAGATAGAGGACAGAGGATGATGGTGGAGGATTGCTTTTCAGGCTGGAGACTGTGACCAGTGGTTTGCCGCAAGGCTTGGTGCTGGGTCCACTGCTTTTTGTCATTTATATAAATGACTTGGATGTGAAAATAGAAGGTATGGTTAGTAAGTTTGCAGATGACACCAAATTGGAGATGTAGTGGACAGTGAAGAAGGTTGCCTCAGAGTACAACAAGATCTCGATCAGATGGGCCAATGGGCCGAGGAGTGGCAGATGGAGTTTAATTTAGATAAATGTGAGGTGCTGCATTTTGGAAAGGTAAATCAGGGCAGGACTTATACACTTAATGGTAAGGTCCTGGTGAGTGTTGCTGAACAAAGTGATCTTGGAGTGCAGGTTCATAGTTCTTTGAAAGTAAAGTCGCAGGTAGATGGAATAGTGAAGAAGGCATTTGGTATGCTTGCCTTTATTGGTCAGTGCATTGAGTATAGGAGTTGGGAGATCATGTTGCTGCTGTACAGGACATTGGTTATTGGTTCTTGGAATACTGCATGCAGTTCTCGTCTCCCTGCTATAGGAAGGATGTTGTGAAACTTGAAAGGGTTCAGAAAAGGTTTACAAGGATTTTGCTAGGGTTGGAGGGTTTGAGCTATAGGGAGAGGCTGAATAGACAGGGGCTATTTTCCCTGGAGCGTCGGAGGCTGAGAGGTGACCTTATAGAGTGAATAGACAAGATCTTTTTCCCTGGGTGGGGGAGTCCAAAACTAGAGGACGTGGGTTTAAGGTGAGAGGGAAAGATTTAAAAGGGAACTAAGGGGCAACTTTTTCATGTGGAGTGTGGTGTGTGTGTGTAGAATGAGCTGCCAGAGGAAGTGGTGGAGACTGGTACAATTACAGCATTTAAAAAGCATCTGGATGGGTACATGAATAGGAAGGGTTTAGAGGGATGTGGGCCAAATGATGGCAAATGGGACTAGATTAATTTAGGACATCTGGTTGGCATGGACATGTTAGACTGAAGGGTCTGTTTCCATGCTGTACAGTTCTGTGACTCTATGACTGCACATGCCTCTGTGATCCCAGATGAAGATAATTAGGTTCAGTATTGCACTCTGTGCACAGATACCCACTAGATGGACTGCATGTGACTAGTATTCTCAGATAACAGCCCAGACTTCAAGACATGAGCAGATAATGTGTAACTACAGGTGTCAGATTGAGACTTGGTGACTACTGTACAAAATGATTAATTGTATATTGCAGTGTATGCCAGACCCACCAGAAGATCTCTGATTTGTTTTCCTTCAATGTTGGAAACTTTTGTCAGACATGCTCCAGGATCAGATTGTGTAACCCTTCAATCTGAAACTGATGGATGGGAATTTTGATTCTTTCAATATACAACTATTCTCCACCACAATTTCTGACCCCAGTCTTCCATCTTGTCAGACTTGGCAGTATCTCTGGCTGGCGGGATTATTTTTATTTGAGCCCAAAGCAAGAGAATCGATATCAATAGGAGCTGGTTTTCTGGTCTCCTCTGAATAACTGTTGATTGCCTGCTTCAATGACAGTAGCCCCATGTTAAGTCTTGAAGGTTTTGAAGTGGCAGTGAGGATGGAAGAATATTGCAACTTGCAATGAGTTGGAAGAGCACACAGGCATCTCCTGGTTCCTCAGGAAAATGCTTCTTACATATTCAAAGGACTGACCTGGTCAAATGTTGAAGTGAAATGGACCACACAAATCTGGCAATGGCTCCATTTGAAAAGCAATGTAAAGACCAATTTCTAGTATAGAGTATAATGCAAATGCCCTGTTCTTTTCTTCTGGCACATATAAAACACTGCCACAAAAAAAAAGTCCCAAGATTTTTGCTGCAACTTTTGGTGGGTACTGTACAAAAGATGCTATAAAACCTGGTCAAAGGTCTTTAAAAATCTACATCTGCGTATCTAGCTATGTGTTTTATATGTACAGCATTATTTAAAAAAAAGCAGTAATCATAAAATAAATGCTTTGTTGTAAGAAAGACCTTCACAGTATTTGCGACAAAATTGTTTTGAAACAGCATGTTCATAAGTTAGAAACATTGAGAAATTATTTTCTTGGAGTTTTGCTGACAGGAAGTTAACTCCACCAGAGTTCAGCTGAAAAGCAGAACCTTTTTGCTTGGCCCCAAAAATTTCTTGTTGCATGTTCTCCGAAATATCAAAGCTGTCTCTTGGTCGACTCTGAAAATTCTTTCAACAATATCATTGACAAGGTCAGCTTTGTTGCTACTCCACAATTGCCTTTGACAAGTTGATGGTAACTGCTGAAGTCTATGTTGTGTAACTCACAATTGCATTTTAAAAAATCTTTACAATATGCAATTTCAAATGTTTTTTTTCAATTATGTTATCTTTTTCTATATGTTCACATATTATTTGTTTTCATTAATTTTAATTAAAAATCCATATTCTCCCAAAATCTCTCATATCATCAAAATCGTATGGTATCTATTACATTAAGTAATTGTCTCTGACAGAAATAACCTGTAACACTGATTATGAATACAATTGCATTGTGTCTTAAATCTAGACATAGACGCTTATTGCACAGTAGCATAGAACATAGAACAGTACAGCACAGTACAGGCCCTTCGGCCCACTATGTTGTGCTGAACTTTTACCCTAATCCTAAGGTCTATCTAACCTCCACCCCTACCTTATACTATCATCAATATGCCTATCTAATAGCCGCTTAAATGCCCCTAATGAGGCCGACTC